TACGTAAAAATCCAACCACTGGTAAACGAAGAACAATCCTTTTATTCCTATCAACGGTTTTTCCTTTAACAGGATTTGGAATTTTATTCTTGGCAGGATTAGAACAAGCACCACATACAAATCGATGGAGATTTAGATTTATGTCATTAAATGAAGAAAAAGAATTATGCGACTCGGCATTTTTAGCAGTTCATGAGCAATATAAAAATAAAATTTTAGGGGATAATAGGATTGAAACTATTTTTGTAAGACATGTTATGAATAATTTGCTTAAAGGATTAAATGATGATTTGATGACATTGAAAAACATATAAACAAGAAGGTCCATATGATGGTAATATGAAAGAAATAAATTACTAAATGTACGAGTTAATAATACAGCATTAGCGGATTTAAACAATGTTAGGAAAACCGGTAACGCCGGTGGTGCTCGTGTTGGTTGGGTTAAATGAAAATTTCGATGATGTGATAAAATAATCGAATTAGAAAGTTTTAAAGAATTTTTAGGAAATGTAAGTTTAGAAACTTGAAATAATACATTAGAAGTATTTATAATTATCTGAGATCTTTCTTTTTGATAATTCCTAAAAAATATGAATTTTATTTCTTGATACGAATGTTCTAGCTTGATAACGTTGGACCGTAGTAAAAATTTTACATATTCCAACATTTTTTAAATTACTGAATCGTTCAATTAACATAGTAATATCAAATATTTTTCTCAAAATTCAAAACAAAAAATGCAAAACACTTGAGTACGTACTGTACGTATGTACGTACCGGTACTACTATATCTATATAATTGATAAATTATATACTGCGGTAATGATAATTGTACTGCCGTATCGGGAATAATTCTCCGCTTGTACAAAATTTTTTGTAAGCAACAACTTCATTAATAAAAATATTTTTATAGTTGTAATTTCTAGCTATAACGATAACGATAATACTCCGAATGATTTCTTATTTATCTTGTAATTTTAAACGGCAAACGGATACATATCTAACGAAATGAAAATTATTTTAATATTATGTCGATAGCTCAATTCTTAAAATTCTTAAAAATAATCCTTAAAAATGAATGTATATACCTGGGACATTCTCATCATCATCCTTTTTAAATGCTTGGAATTCGTCAATCGGGATAATACCCCTTGTCACATCCAAATGGATTACTGCATCAAATTGCTTTGATAATTTTGCTGAAAAATAATGACTCCAGCGTTCTGTATTCGGTTTATAAATTACACCAATCGCTCTTTCAAGTAGCGGTTCAGATAATTTTTCCGTTAAATGTTTAGAAACTATTTAACTCTTCGGGATTAGATGAAGATGAAACTATTTTGTTAAAGATTATAAGAAAATTTGGAAGTTTAAGGTCTACGCTAATCTTATGAAAAACTCCTAATTATAAATAATTATATAGAGAAATATTAGTTTTAGTAAAAAAGTGTTATTCGTTTTAACATTTTATAATATTACCTTCATACGAGTCCTTTCTTCCTGGGACAATTTTCATAATTTTAGGTGATGTATTCCTAGAAGTACAGTAAGTACAGTACGTTACCCCTGTGTAATGCTAATTCTCATAAATAAATCCTAAAAATAAATTGCTTACCATTCATGAGCAGCAGTTACTAATGATTTAAAGTGTAAAAAAAAAGCAAGTTGGAATTAAATTCAAGTTATGTTTTACATCAATTTATATTTAAAATAAGAATTTACTGTACCAGACCCCTAAATTATTCCAAAAATAAATATTAATACGACAAAAGAAGTATTTTATTTAACAAGATGACACGATAAAAATAGCTTAATTACAGTGTATGTAGTGAATCCAATATTAAAACTATTACTATCACCAAACTGTTCGCGAACTAATTGACCGATGCTTATTTCTCTACGCGATATTCCCATATCAGTATTTCGCGCGTCACCCAAATGACTAATTATGTTAACTCATTCATAATTGCTATCAAAATTTGAATATTTGAATATGTTAAAAACCTAAAACCTGTTATGAGCCCAAATGACTGCTTTAGCACAGGGCCGATGATTTACTGCGATCACAGAAAATAGCCCTTAAAAACAGTTAACCACAGAAATCACCTTTATCATCGCAGAATGCCACAGAAATCTAAAAAAGTAGTGCAGAATATCACAGAATTCTATAAAAGTAGTGCAGAATATCACAGAATTCTATAATATCGCAGGAGCACCGGGAAATCCCGAAAATGTAATTACTAACATGTTTGTCGGGAAGTTACGGAATTTTGCACATTTGTATTCATCAAATCACAGAATCAAACGCAGAAATTAACTTTTTCATCACAGAATTTCACAGAATACATTAAAAAAACAGCACAGAATTTGGTCTTAACCAAAACAGTAAATCATCGGCCCTGCTTTAGCAGGACAACCATTTTGACATTTCGTTAGATGATCTAATATTTGATTCAACGCTCGAACCATGTGTGTATCCCTTAAATTCCATGACTTAACATCTTCGCAAAGCATACGCCGATAATATTCCTCAGCATCTTTGACGACAAGAGAATTTTCCTGTAGAGAGAATAAAAATGTTCTAATAATGTTCTAATAATGTGATGATAATTGATGATAATTCACGACAATTTATAAGTCATCACAAACCTCAGCAGCAAACTGATATTCTTCGATCGGTCCAAAGTCTTTTAATTGTTTTAACAAATATTCACCTCTTTTTCGACATAAATCCGTCAAAACAGCAACCACTTCTTCTTCAGCCGATTTAACTAACCCATAACGAGCTGCGAAAGCATAGCTCATCGTATTTTTACCAAAACGTTCGAAAACACCATATCTTAAGGTAGAAACAGCAAACTGATATAAGATCTTGGAATAATGAATATAAATAAATTTTGTATGTTCATTAATACCTTTCACGCGCTTTTCGTGCTGCTTTAGGATCAACCTTTTGAAGGTAATCGATCACGGCTTCAGAACTCGTATGAAGAGAATACAAATCAAGGCCATAAAAGGAAACCTACAACATTAATTGAACGAAGAATAAATATATTAAATAAGCATATAAAAAGGTTCATTATATTAATTAGCTTACTTTATCGTAGAATCCGGCCTCTAACCTGTCGTTATATCGACGACACCAATCAATAAAATTTAGCATCTCTGATAAATACAATATTTAAGAAAAATCAATGTTGAATGATAATATTTAAGTTTATCAATACTATACAGTATATATATTACCTTCGTTACGCCACATCCACAAAGGAAAACGTTTAAAATCTTTTAAAGAATCAGTGAGTGTTTTAACGTTTTGCGGAGCAATGTTTTTAATGTATCTATTAATGATATAATGAGAAATTTCTAATTTATTATCGTTGACAAAATTATTATTATAATTGCCTGTTAATGGTCATCGAATCTGGATAATCAGCTTCGGCACAAACCTAAAAAAAATATTTTGTAATATATATTTTTAATATAAAATCATAATAAAAAATACGATAATTAATAAATCTTTAATACCGCTGTAAATCCCTTTTCAGTGATCAATCTCTGAGTCAGATAAATACGTTCACGATAAAAGTCACTACAGTAATCATAAATTGTCAAAAAGTCAATTTCTTTTTAGTTGGCAAAGAACTGACTGGATATTATATAAAATCTATAATAACAACCTCGTTCCATGGCTTGCTTCACCAATCATTACAATTCTAGCTGATCCTATTTAATATTATAAATTCAGTAATTTGCGAAAATAACTCACTATACAAGTATTATAAAGACATACCGATTGCCTCCATAAGCTTGTCAAAATGTTCCTGGTATGGATCGTTAACTTCGACTTTAACAACATGATCTTTTAAATCTTGAGCAGTGATTTTACTCATCTTACTAGAATTTTTATTAAAAATATTGTTTTTTTTTACGGCTCGATAATTTAATAATCTGATAAATTTAACCATGAATTTTATCGTTAAAAATCTTTATATATATTCAACTCTAGATCTATTACTAAATTATTATATCATGAGTATTTTTACATCAAAATATTGTCATTGCAAAATTTCTTTACTATTCTGGTTTAATACCAAAATATTTTTAAAACACTAAAGTAAAATGATTAAAAAAATACTGGTTATATTCTGTGATGTAAAATATAATACAATCGATTCTAAGTGGAGTTAGCCAATATTGTTATTGAAATTTTACGTTCATGTGACGCGAGTAATGAAAGATTCTTTCGAGGAAGAAACTTTTTGTTAGATCATAGATAGATAGTTTCTTATGCAAAGATTGAACAAACAACTATTTTTGAATCTTTTTGATAACGATAATGCATATCTGATTGAACAGAACCCTAGCATTACTAAATGTTAATTTTTCTTTTTTAGGTTGATAACGCCGTCTCTTCCACTTTATATAATATAGCGATAGAATATATTTTTCAGTATATCGAATTAGAAGTCAAGAATCATTAAAAATGCTTAATATGATCTGTTTTAATAAAGAAAAATAAATAAATTTATAATAAATTTTTTTCGGTTTTCTCTTGTGGCATATACAGTATTCATACTACGATTTAACAATTGCGTGATTACTTTGGCTCGCAAATCTTATGAATCATGGTTCGAATTATAAACTCGAGTTATTCGTGTCCTAAGTTGATGAATCCATTATTATTAGCTCTTTAAGTTACACTTTCCTTCCAAGAACTGATACTTCTAAGGTAAAATATCCATTTCTTCATCGTTAATACTTTGGCCTTGCCTTTGCACAATTGCAGGTGTTGTACCAACTCTAAATCATTGTTAATTACCTGACTTCCAAGCGTGTCTTTTCACGGCAAGATATATTCAAACCTTGCAGCATACATTCTCACAAGGCAGATTCTCGATTTTGATTGGCTAAGAGCGGCGATCAAAAAATTAGGCCGGAATTACTCATAATTTTACTAATGTTCCTGGGCCAATTTTACCATAATGCGGGCTTATTTTTTAAGAATTTCTATTTTTGGGATGAAAAAATTAAAAAGTTCATTCCGGCCGGAAATTAGTAAACAATTTTGTAATGTGGGCCAAAATTTTGATGATCCTCTGCCGTTAGCCAATCAGAATCGAGGATCTGCCGGTCCAATTTTGTTGCGGCAGCTATGGTTAATCATACTCACATGAACTTTTCTATAAATAAAAAATATATATAAATTCTTGTTCTTGATTTGTGCCTATCTATCACATACTCACTCTGAATTATCTAAAAGATTATTCTTAATTTCCTTCTCGCTGTTCCGATATCTCGAAGGCTATTGTCACGGTTTTAGAATTAAACCCGTGACTTCTATATGACTTGGTAGCCCGAATGACCCGAGCCACAAGAATATTGTGAGGCTCCTTGGTGGCGAATGGAGGCTTAATAACATAGATTAAATCTGGTGAGTGTTTGTTTATCTAACATACAATAAGTATGATAGAAGATAAACCCGATTGTTGGTATAAACAAACAAGTCTTGTTGATAGTATAATTGTTCGCAGCTCGCGACAGCGATGTCTTGTTGATAGTACACAGAGTCTTAGAAGATTGGGATTAAAAGATAGCGCAGTAGCTCTTAGTAAAGTAAAAGGTATTTAAGGCCGGGGTTTTCGCCTTAGTCAAGTTTCTGAAGACCTTTCGTCTCAGACTTTTGTCTCAGACTATTGTCTTATACTATGTAGATTAGACCTTGTCTCAAATGATGATTTAGAACCTTCGATGTCTTAGTTATAGAGTTTATAATAAGAATCGGATCTCACATGTGTTGTATTAGTTTATTAGTTTATTCTATTATTGTATTATTCTTTATTATTATTTTGAATTTCTTCTTTTATTGTTATATAATAAATTACCCCCCGATAATTAAAGTTTGATCTGTTAAGTGATAACCCGACTCAGTTTAAGAGTTTCGTAACATCATATCACGTGTATAAGTGTTATAAAATCCCGAACCAAGTTAACCATCGGAGCTACAATATTAAATTGGCACAAAAAAAAAATAATAATAAAAGTCAGACTTCCTAATATTGTATAAATTTATTTTAATTTTCATTAACCACATATTAACTCTTGAAACTTGTAATTACAAATATATGCACGCGCACAGACACGAAAATTTTACTGATTTAACATCTTGTACCTAAAATATGGCTCAGGCTTCCTTACTTTGAGAATAATGTAATCTGGAATATTTTAAATTTTTTTGCAATGGATTGTGGTATTAACGGATGATTTTGGCGATAAGGAGAAACACAGGAAAAGTAAGATTTTTTAGAACAATTGATTCAGAATACTTGTTTACTAAAGTCTGATAGCGTTGTTACTACAAAGCATCAAAAGTGCAAGTTTTAAGAAAATAATAGTTCAAAAGTAATTTATTATCTGAAGGTATTCTTAAGACTTTTCTGATAACCAAGAATTCAAACATGCGAGAAATATAAACAAAGCTATTGAAAAACATAGATCAAATATTAGTAAAAAATATTATTAATAATAAACGAGAATCTGTTTGAAAAAAGAAGAGAATATGAATTTCGAAGAAAATAATTGTGTATACTTATTGTAAGATATTATTATAATTGTGTGTTATTACTATGCTAACTCATACAAATTTATGAAACATTACATGTTTTCAGAGGCTAATAAATTTTATCACGAACAAAATTCCAAGACTTGAATAATGTAAGTTCACTTTTCTTTGTACATACTTTAAAAAATTATAATATAATAGCTAATGCATCTATATGGTAATTAGAGGAGAAATTTTAAGCGTTCAAGACATCTAAGTAATTAAATAGTTATATGATATAATCTTAAAGAATTGTCTATAATGAAGTTGTCAGTAATTCATAAAGATATCATGAAAATATCATTGCCATGCCAAACACACTAATGCGTCTTACTATTAGAGTAGACTTGGTGAGTAACCCTTTCTGATATCTTGCACTCTTTAAAATTACACCAGTATTAAAATAAATTGATAATTGAATATTTTTTATACCAGTATTAAGAGACAACAAATGTTATTAAAAGCATTTAACATTTTTTTAAAAAAATTAAAAGTTATATGAGGCAAGTAAAAAGATCAATCTAATAGAAATAGTCCTTTATGAAATAATATTCGACATTATCTCATACTCTTAAAATCGGATTTAGAAAAAAAAAAATCAAATTAAAGTTGAAAATACCATGGTAAGTATCATGACAAATAAAATTATGTGATTTTTTTTTTTAATTTAACCAGTAACAATTTCCCCCAAAATTTGTCTTGCCAGGCCTAAAAAAGCTTCACAAAATACAAATCGTGACTATCTAGTCTTTTAGCAAGATAATATTATTGCCATAAAGAAGGAAGCTTATTAATAAAAATACGGTTTTGGGTAATGGATTGACCTTCTCAAAGTCCGGATTTGAATCCTATTGAAAATATAATAAGGAGATCTAATTTACAATAAGCAAGCCCCATCAATTAGTTTTTTTTACTTATTATGTCATTATATTTGTCTCCTAGCTATGTGTTGTAAGCTAAGAAGTTATTTTAAAGAGTTCGATATTCTTTACAAGAAGCTTAATATACAACATGAATATTGCTATTAGCTAATTATCAATATGCTGGATCATGAGTGTTATCAAGCACCTCGCTCAATGGATAGGAGGTAAATTTTTTAATTAGCCATAAATTGAATAAATCAGCCAAGTGGGTTACCATTTCGATGAATAAATCAGCAAGATACAAACCATTATTTTTTTCAAAAATTTACCATTGATCAAGATCGCTCAAGTATTATTTTTTACATTTTTACATATCAAACATAATAAGCAATAAATTATTAACAAATTCTCATCCAAACCAAAAAAAATAACTTATTTTAATGCTCAAAGCTTTTAAAACAAATAATTGATACCTTGATACAAATATAATAAATGTAGCACACCTTTTAACCTTTGATGAACACTGTTATTCCATTTTTCGTTCACCTAAATTTAAAAATTTTACAGCTAAGATGACCCAAAACTGAAGGATTTTTGGGTAGAAGTTTTTCTATATCTAACGGATAATGAAAGTTATAACTCTTTTCAAAAATATTTTTGTATTATCTATGCTATTTTCAGTGCGAAACAGTAACTACAGAATTATTATAGATCGTCTAAAAAAAAGGAAATTTTTTAAAATTTACTTGATTTTTGCAGAGCAATTTTTACTAACGATTTCATAAGTTGATTTGTTATTGTTGCAACAAAAATTTAAATTGGTAAAAACATTAAAAAATGAAACCAATGCAACTGAAGTTGAAGCTTTGGTAGCTGATTGAATATAAAAAAAAAACTTTCATTAAGTTTTTTTAGAAGGCATAATGAAAGTTATGAAAAGCAGAAAAGAGTGCACTCGGGCATTTAATTCTATAAATGTCGTCAATGATTGTGATGCTTGAGCGTTACCATGATTCTTATTTAATTAATTGATTGAGATGCTTGAGAGCACCCCATATTGCCACTTGCACTAAGGCTGTAGAATCTATAAAATATTATAACGCACCTAATTTAAAAAAACAAAATAATAAAATAATAATAAAACATGTACTGTATTTTTTTTGCATAACTCATGCGTAACTTTATGAAATAGCATGGAATTTAATACACTACACTTTAAAATTTTTAAACATGTGTAATATAATATATAGTATAGGTCACAATACAAAAAGGCTTTAGTCAACAAATAAAAACTTTATCCAATGCCAAAGGTTTTGAGTTTTATTTTTACTGCAACTACCGTAGTGCACTGATCAAAAAGCCTGGGTCTAATACAAAATACCCAATAAAAAACTTAAAAAGGCCCGGGTATATTATACATCAGCGGGTCAGTGTCGCAAGAAAAAATATTTAAAACATATACTTACAATAACAGTCTAAAAATTTAAAAAAACCTATATTTAATTAATAGAGGTCTCGTGTTTTGCACCGCGTATTTTGCAAGGGGGATATTGAAAAGGGGGATATTTTGGTCAGTGCACTATGGTAGTCTGCAACTACACATTTTGCAGGTAATTTTTTTTAGATTTTTTATTTTTTTACCCATTTTGCTTATTATTATAGTAATACCTCTACACCAAACACCCCTTTAGAAATTAGAAATATATATACAGTATTTAAAAAGAACCAATAAAAAAATAGACAATTGGTGCACTTTATGCTTAGAATGCGCATTTAAACCAATAAAAATATGCAAACATACAATAACACCTCTGATAAGCAAATCAGATATCTATCGCTATGTACATGTATTGACCTCGAAATTTGATTGATCGGCTAAATTTGTTTAAAAATAATATTAAAATTAACCACTTTAGAAAGGATAAATTGGCTTACTCCCAAGCATTGATTACGAATGTGATGGATAAATAACGTATTTGTGTTAATATCGTCCTCATAAAAATAAAAAAAAATTTATAATGGTTATTTAAAAGAGAAAAGAGAAATATTACTGTCTTTGACGATGTGTCCGAGCGGTCTAAGGAGTGTGACTAGAAATCACATGGGTTTTACCCGCACAGGTTCAAATCCTGTCGTCGTCGAATTTTAATTTTTAAATATTTTGAGGTTGAATAGATATTCGGTTTTTACATGTGCATTTAATTTTTAATTTCGCGTATTCATAAAAGTTTGATTTCTAAAAAACTTAGCATGTACCCTTTATTCAAGATAATGGTTTTATCTATTAAAGTTATAAAACCTCCTTTCTGATAAATATATTTTTACAATCAATGGATCGAATGCTTATTAAGAAAAAATTTGAGTGAACATTGCTTTTTTTTAATAAATTATAATAAAAAAAATTGTTCGGATTTTTCTCATTGATATTATTAGAGTTTTGTAAATAAACATATCCATTTTCTTAGAAGGATCAATTATTAATACAGATTGTTGTTAGCAACATATCTGTTCCGGCTTTTTTAAGCAGCAATAATATGGGATAACTTTTAAAGATCACAGGAACTTCTTTAAATTTGATCGTCACATAAAAAGTTCAAAATTACTAAAAATTTTTTATTGAAAGAGTTAATGATGAATACCAGATAATTCTCTTCAAAAATTTAGACGTTAATTAGGACAATGAAAAACAAAATCATTATCAATTATTTAATCATTGAGAGATGCAGTAAATTGGAATGTTTTGTTTTTATTAACCTAGCGAATTTTAGTTTATAAGGATAAGATGGAAATTATGAAACTAGATTGTAAATATATATTTATCAATAACAACTTCATAGAGACCACTCCAACAACTTGTCTAATAACTATAATGTTAAAAGTTTGTAAAAAAAAATTGCATAGAAACAGATCAAAGCTATTGCGTTTCTCTAATATATGTGTGATGTTTTTTCGCCGTACAATGTCGTTGGAGATCGATTGTATTCTTAAACTTTTTATTACAAACATCACAAGAATATGGTTTAATATTCGTTTCTTTTTTCAAATCTTCACCGTTGATGGCATTTTTCCTTTTAACAACACTTTGACTGATGAGATTATTAACAGTCATTTGGCATTCATTACATTTATGATCTATCCGTAAATGTTGTAAGAATGCATCTACAATGAGGTATAAATTTTCACATGGACACATAACAATATTGTCTTGAGCCATATTTTGATGGTCGTGAGCAACTGTCTTACTCGGTCCATGAAATGATGACTGAGATCCATGGGTTTTAAACAATTCATTTACTATCATTTCTAGTATAGTAGACATGCTGCTGAACGATATGTCTACTTTGAAAGTAATGCATAAATATATATATATGCTCGGACGAAAGCGTCATAAATCTGCCTAATATTTTAGACTCGATGTACAATTTCGTGAATGATCAATTATATTTAAAATGTATGTTAAAAACGATTTCATATTTATTAACCTTTCAACATTTCATTTGACTACCTCGTCTTTAGATTTTCTATCATAGCTTGTAATAATTTAAATATCACTATATACTATGCTAATATATATTCTTTTTACCATCGGTCCAATTGAATGGTTCTTTAAAAGAGACTAAATTAATCTATTTTGTTTTTTAGCTCGAATAATGATTAGTTGATTAACTTATAAGCTTACTAACTAGTAACGCCTTTAATTTATCACTTGTTAACAAGAAAATTCTAATAGTCACAGGTTGAATCAATGGGCACATACCGGAGACAAGTTTCCTGATGGGTACCCATAAATTCGCCAAATACCTGCTGTATATCAGCAGCATATTGGTAAGATATTGGGAGGTAGATTGATATCAATAACATAACAGCAAAATATTAAGATATCTTGGTATCTTACCCTTAGCACTCTGGAAGATATCGGGATATCCCAATATTTTGCTGTTATGTTATATGCTGCTGATATACAGCAGGTATTTGGCGGAACTATCGGATACATATCAGGAAACTTGTCTCCCAGTATATACCCGATATTCATTGATTCAACCTGTGAGTCAAATAATGAAATGTAAAATTAACTTTAAGGTATAGGATATTAATAAAGATGTTAAAAAGTTCGGAATAATAAACTACCAGGACTAGTTTAACATCCTAGAATTAACATACCAAACTTTAATAAAATTTATTAAAGTTGTTTTTTTATCATTGTTTCTCAAAAAATCATTCATTTTTATGGTGAATAGTCTTGATCATTTAAAATTATCCAATTAAATTTATGTTTATTCATTATCAATAAGAATCCATAATCTGGGTGTCACTAATCACATCCAGATATCCATAAATTATATTTATTTTTTTTGCCTCAATTTATTTATCACCCGAGTTCAAGTTCCTTATTTCTAACTTTCCTAATCCAATCATTAAGTGCATCGTATATATTATCAAATCTTTCTAATTCTTCCCACTCGAGTGTATCATTATATAACTCAAAATCTCCTTGCCTGACTCTTTCTAGTTCCGTTAAAAATGCTACACTACCTAATCTATGTCCAATATCATCAATTAAGTGACCAATCGGCGCGTCCGAACTACATTCAACATCAATTTTAAAAATAGGATGATTATCGGATTTACCTAATAAATTGATTAAAGTATTTAACGATGTGTTGATAGGTGTTGATTCATCTGGAAACCCTAATGTATCTAACATATCCTTTTCAGATATTCCTGATGTTTCTGATGTTTCTAATGTTTGAGAATGACCAAAATCAAAATTCAAAGCGTCCGTAGGTTTCAAAGTGTTGATTAGGATCGGTGGTTTGTATTTATGTACTTTTGTAAACTCCAATAATTTCACTGAATGAATAATTTTTTGACTTTGTATTTCAACTCTTGGTGTTGTCGGTGTGGTTGGTGGTGTTCTATAATTTTGGTTTATAATTTTTTTTTTCTGTCGTTTTGACAACAAACCAAAATCTTTAATAAATGGTGGTCTAACAAATGGTTGTGTTTCTGGTATCCTAATTTTAATTATAATTCGTTATTTTTAATTCACTAGTCAAAATACTTATTTTTGGATTCAAAAAAAATTAATAATTTACTTGAATTCTTCTTGATATATTTTTCCTTGAAATATTGGCAGGATGTTTAATATTTGTTGACGTGTTATATGTGATGACGATGCTGTATCAATTACTTCACCAACAATGTCTTTGGTGCTAGTAGAGAATCCTAATATTCCTGTTGCATGATATCTCTAATAAAAACTATTATGTTATCAAACTTCTTATTTAAAACTATCTACAAATTCGATTTAATCAAGTTACCTCATTCATTTTTTCTTGAGATTTCAAGTATCTACAACCCTGATTTACTCCGACAACACATACTCCTGAACTCCAATATTTTGTTTGGGTAAAACAAGTACCTAAAGATACTACTTGTCTTCTTGTCATCTCTGGTCGAGTTCTTTCAGCATGTAGGCGAAATGTATGATTTATATGTTGTAAAACTTGCTTAACTGCTTTTCCGCTAGGTTTATTAACGGCAAATAAGCCGTGAATTGGTTCTTTTTTCGGCATCGCTAATCGCAGTTGTGAAATTTTGATTATCATGCTTTTATAATAAATCATTAATGTCATGTGATGTTGATCATTATATTTTCGGGTGGATTACAGGGACGCTAATTTTTGTTTTAGACGTAAAAATTTTGAGATTTTGCCAGCATTAAGAAATTAAATTTTATAATTCGGGCCACATCACATGTCTTTGCCAAAATTTTACCATTCCCAAAAGTTCTCGAAATTGTATAGTATGAATTTGGCCAATCAGATTAAATATCTAGTTTTTTTTATGGATAACCGAAGGGAGTAGGGTTGTAAAATTACCATGGTATGCGTGAAATTTTATGTAATTAAATTAGTTTCATGTAATTGTAACTTGTCTGAGTAAAGATACTGAAATAAAATCAGAGTGGTGAAATAATTTCATCACTATTGGTGAAGAATTGGTGAAATTGATGAAATTAATTCTCTAGTTCTGACCGGTGGTCGAGGAGTTACAAATCGAATCATAAGTTATATTTAAATCAAATTATGCTCAACTTTTATAAAACAGTTCTTTATACATAACGTGATGAAAATTACATGTATTATAAGATTGTAACTTTTGTAACACAACCTTAGTAGGAAGGTCCTCATGCTCCGTTTGCATTCTAATATTTCTCGTGAGAAACTGCCCAAACAATGTATTGGATTAAAAATTATAATTAATTCTAGTTAAAAATTACAATTTATTCTATAATTAATTCTAATTTGAAATTATAAAATCTATAGATAGAAATATAAATTTATTAATATAATTATATTATTGCTAAAACTAATAACTTTAAATTATGTTTACCAGTTCATAGTCATTGTTGATCTCATACCTCTTCCTTCGGCTTATGAATTTATTCTTTATACCGCTTTTCGGGTTCTTTTTCTTCGCTCTGCGAAGTAGGTTGATAGGCTATTAACAATTCTTCACTCAAAGATGAGTATATATAAGAATTGATTCAAAATAATTTCGCATATATAACGCTAATTTTATATAATATTATAAATCTCGCTATGATATGTTTCTTTAATCAATGTCCTTTCGTAATAGTAAATTCGTATCATTTGTTCGCTTAAATCTATAAACCAATATTATGACTTCATGATAATTCTTTTTCATGTAACCTGCTGCTGATAAAGATAGTGTTGATCGCAAGAATATCTCCTGGCAACTCACGTTCGTCAGTGTTGATCATCGTCGAAGAGGACCATTAGTTTCGAAGAGTTTAATGAGAACACGTAACGTAAAACGTAAGAGCATATACACAATCTGCATAGCATATTCAACCTAGATTCCTCAATCATACATTTTGCCATCCAAGTTTATTAAATAAAGAAAACAAACTTTCAAATAATCATAAATTGAATCGGCTGTCTTTGTGTAGCCACAATCTCTTTACTCGCTTATTCCAGCGGGTAGTTGCGAAAAAATATCGGACTAAAAATAACTAAGAATACCAGATTAACAATGTCTAAGATCGTGGTTTGGTTATCTTTTCTTTACCTTCTCCCTTTCACGTATAATCATTCAGCCTGAAGATTCTATTGTCTCTCGAAGTTCGAATTTTGTTTTGCGCTTGAGACTCTCACGTAAACATAATTTTTCTTTGAGGTGGTATCGGTATCAGAAAGAAATCTACAACCGTTTATGGGAGTACAATACATTGAGGTACGTTACATAGGAATTAAGTATATATTAAATTTTAAAAAACTTAGAATTATGAAGACAGTGGTTCAGTTATTGTCTTGGGTGACTTTTATTCGATCCCTCACACTGAGAAGAATCGAATTATAAGAAAATATTTCAAATTTACTCACTAAATATCGAGATATCTTGTCTGAATAAGATAGTAAAAAGGTAAGGTGGGTATCGTGATAAATTAGATGATCCAGTGATTGTAGTATTAGAATGATTTTATTTCTCTCAACTGAAAAAAAAAATCAAATGTTAATCCAATCACTAGACTGCAAAGTTCAGTTCTTCAAAATATCCTTGTCAAAGTATTTGCCTATCTTACAATCAACTAAAAATTATTAATCCACTTAGAATTTATCAATCTTAAGTAAACTTTATCTCTATTTACATTATATTACCGGCGAAGTTTAAATAAAATCGTACCGTACTTTCGCGAAATAACGTCATGAACTTTATTTTGAAATAACGCTCATGAGCTTCCCGAAATGGTTTACATGATTCCCTGACCAATACTAACTATAAATCAGGCCAATGTTAACCCTAAACTTAACTATCGGGAAAATGATCCGAGGTACCCGCGTCAAATAATACACCTTTTCATTCGTGTTTCTTCCAAAAATAGACGCATGAAATATACATTATACAAATAATATATACACGCGTACTCAAAATAACGCGTACGCGCATATTCAAAATACGCATATACGCACATTCGAATTAACGCGCGAGAACTCAAAATAACACGCATGCATGTATTCGAATTAGCACGCAGGACTCACAACAATGCATGCACAATTAACGCGCAAATAGGCGTTGTTTCGCGAAAATACAATAATAATGGTATTAATATTAATATTATTTATTTATAAACTGATTATCTTATATATATTATGTATATATAGTCCGTTTACTAATAAGTACTTTGATACTGTATGTTACATTTGGTGAGTTAATAAAAAACCAAGTAAATATTTTTTAATAAATTTTTTTAAAACTTTAAACAAAAATAACCTAAGAAAAACTGTCCAAATTCAATATTTAAAATTTTTTCTGCAAGTTTGTAAATTTACTTAAAAAATTTTTTTATTAAATTTGGTTAAGTTACTGTCGCTTAAAGTTCAAAAATTTTTTATTATACCTATTTTCTTGATTTCTATCAACTCACCTTCATTAAACAAAACTATCAAACTTTACTAAAATATAAGTTTCTTAGTCACAAAACATTTTGTTTCTAGTTAGACTTTAAACAATTACACTATATTGGATGATTCAATTTCAAATTTCATTAATGGCAGATCATACTTTTATCTGGTGAGTTTATAATTTTAATAGACAAATGTTAAAAAATAATTAATAATTGATTGTGTTGCAATTTTTATTATACTAAATACTCATTTACGATGTAATGCAAATGATTGTTCAATGGTTGTGCCTTTTAGTAATTCCTCCTTGACTTTTTGATCCATTGCAACATATTTGTCACATAATTCTAATACACGATCCAAATCTTGTTGAGGGATGCATACTACTCCATTCAAATCCGCAATTATTATATCACCAGGATTGATTCTAATTTGTGGATCGTAATTCCCATTTAGAATAACTGGTTCATTAAAAGATGTCGGACGGGTAAATGCTTTAGCAGATAAGACAGAAATCGCTTTAGCAAAGATCTTATAATTCAATATAGAATATTCAAAGGTTAACTTATCAATTTAATATAAAACGAAAATGATATCAAAATTGTTTGAATATAAGCACTCACTGGTAATCCATCAGCTCGGAGTTCTTCAAGATCCCGAACACGACCATCCACAACAACTCCTTTGGCTCCACGCATTTTAGCTCTCGTATTCATCAAGCCTCCCCATACAGCATTTATAGTATCTAATAAAATTATAATTCATAATTTACGAACAAGAAAAGAATATGTAATTTATGTATAAAGAAAGATTACAAACTTGGTGGCGCAGACACAAATACAACACTATTTGCTGGAGTTGCGTCAGCCTATCAATGATAGTTAGCGCTTGAATATTCTAAAAAAAAATAAAAATAAAATAAAAAAATAAAATAAAATAAGGTAAGAAAAATATATATATACTTACAAAATGCTGGCTTGGCTTTGGAGAAGTAACATCGGATACGGGAACACACTATTTAGACAAACTATTTTAGAACTTGACTTTGTGTCAATAAAATCTAGCTAGAATTACAAATACAAAAAATAATATAATAATAATAATAATGATGATGATAATTCTATTTACTTTTACAGTAAAAACAGGTCCGATTAATTTTGAATTTCCAGCCAGGTATTCTGGAGAAAACATAACAATATCAGGCAAAAAACCTCCATAAGGATTGTCCATCTTGAGAAGTGCATCGGCGACCTGCAAATGTACACATTTATTTTTAGATATACTTTAACCAATTCTATATTATCTATTAATACTACACACATCACAGCTGCTAAAGGCTTCTAAATGCTTAAGCTTTTCCTCAAGATTTCCTTCAAGAATACTTTCAGACATTTTTCTCTGTTTGTGATAATAAAGCTTGAAAATATAGTCAGATCTCCTTAAGTGCAACTCATTGAGACCAAACTTTTGATAGCATGCATTTAGAGAACAATAAGATAAACTGAATTTATGGAGGTCAGAAATATACTTGGGCCAGAGCTTGAGGGTGCATTTAGAGAGGTATTGCATTTAGGAGGTCTGGCTGTATCGTTATCGTTATCGTTATTGTTGATATTCCTATTATGGAAAGGTGGCGCGTTCAAAGATTTTTATTGGTAAGTATATTTAAACTTAAATAATTTCAGCCTAAAGTTTCTTTCGATTATCATGTGGCTAAGTTGTATGAACTGCAAGAGCAACGACATATTAAAATTACTAAAATTGGTTCACTCATTGAATGCGCTGTCATGCTCTGTCATGCTCCGTCTTACGGGAGATGAGACTCATGATTATCTTGATCATTCAAAGCTGAAACAGTATGGAAGATCCATACCAGTAACTGGGCGATTTATTTATTTCCTATTTCGTGTCATTTAATTGAACAAGCTTTGTCGGATGCTGTCACTGATTACTAATTTAAAGTATTACGTAAGATGCTTTAAAATCTTAATCTAAAACATATAATATAATAAAACAATTCTAGGTTCAGATTTCACAATAACGTCGACAATTTTGGTAATAAAATAAAAATAACAATCATAAAAATTCAGGTAATATATTTGATATATCGATACGCCATAATTTGGGTATGGACAATTTCTGGTTCAGTCCGGATCAGTTTAATTATAATCAATATTGATACTGGAATCCGAAATTACTAATTGGGTCTAATTATGAAAATAAATGGACACTGCCCCCATGTCATTTGTAACTATGAGCTATCACATGATAATCATGTGCATATTAGCCATATTGACTTTTGTGCAACCTATTTAAACCGGGAAAAGTTTTATAAATAGATGAAAGTTTAAACCCTACGTATGTATGTGCGTGTCTGTCAAACCTGTAATGATTTCAGTGAATGGGCACGTTTACCATACATTTAACGAAGATGAATGCAAAGAAAATCAATCAACATGCTGTGACATGATACGACTGGGTTAATGCGTAGATTGCGTGTCTAGATAACATGTAACGATTACTGAATTACACAAACGCGAGTATATTTTGGTACACTAAAATACAAACATAAACACAAGCGGAACAGTCAAGAACTTTAAATTTGCTTTTTTAATACTATAATATGAATAAACTTTATTCGTATTGTAGGGATTGGAACCAGTCAAAAAATAATGATCGGTCAGATTTTACTTTTATTTAACTTTTTGATCAGTCAAAAGGTCAGCTGTATCACGTTACAATCAACCAATAAAATTTATCTTATCACGTGCTGCAATCGCGAATCAAAAAAGTTATATTCCTATTTAACCGTTCATAATTTTTATGGCTGATAAGTTGGATATTGATCGATTAATCGGTCAACAGTTGAATAAACTGCAAGGTGAATCAAAAATGGTACACCCGTACAGCTTTAACAAATCATTAAATGTTTATCCGTCACGCTACAGACGATGAATTATACATAATCCTAAGAACCAACACGAATTATCTGATTGGCCAATCAAAATCCATAATTTGAGGACACACAAAATCTGTCACTATGTTTCTACCCGTAATGTTCTTCGAACAATTGTTCATTATAGTAGACCAGCGATATAGTGCTTATATGTCCAATTTTAGTGTTTCGGGCGAATTCGAAATATTTCGTCTGGGCGAAATTATTTTACGCTGGCGAATATTTCGAGCTTCAAAAGGTGCAAAAGAACTATATATTTTGCAGGTTGAACTGAAATTATTTCCTATTGGCGAAATATTTCGGATTTTGGAAATTAGTTTAGCCTGAAACATTAGTCCAATTATTTTGGCTTGAATTGGACATATACTCAGACCTCTCTAAATGCATTGCGACGGGATCACATGTAAAAATTTAGTCAAACGTACATTTAAAGGTAGGGAGGTAAAATCTATAAACTTTATATTAGTTGGGTTTAAATGATGACGTATATTTAGGGCTTTTCATGGGGCAAGCATAGGAGAGTTGCATTTAGGAAGGTCTAACTGTATGTCCAAATGTCCAATTTCGTCCAATTGACAACAACTCTGTTCAAAAACAGTGTAATAGAATTTTTATTAGGTATCATAATCCGATAAGTCTTAAACGTTTGTTTTTTTTGATAAATGTGCAGAGATATGCAGTGTAACATGGTCAGAAATTTGATTGGGTGCTGCTAACAGACATTGCATGGTTTTGGAGTACATTCATATGATTGGCTAGTTTACGAAGATCAAAACGTGACCATAAACCAATCAAGCCGATCAGAAATTCATTATGCGAATAATTAGCGAAGCTATTTTTATTTATTATATTTTTGAAAAGCAGTAATTAAAGTAATTCTATCATATTCTTAATCATCTCAACATTATTAGAGATGCGACTAGTGATGCCTGACGAAACCATGTGATGCTAATTGTCACATGGTATAATATATAAAAATCAACAATCTATTTTGATTTTTATATGTAATAGCACGTGACAATTAGCATCACATGGTTTCGTCAGGCATCACTTGATCCTTTAGACTCATATAATTAATGAAACAATAATACACGTATACCCATACATATTATCGATCTACTATTTAACTTGGAATTAGGGATCCTCATTTTCTGCTGCAATAGTTTATGCGAATTATGCGATAAATTTTGCTACAAATTATGCGAATTAAGTAAAATTATGCGAAAAGTTGCAACTAGAATCATTTTTTATATCTTAAACCCGATTAAACCATTGAAAATAACCGGTTCCAAATTATAATTGCGATGAGAGTGTGAATGCTTGCCGTAATTATAATGTATTATGGCAAAAAATGCCCGTAGCTCATTATAGTTACAAGCTACGTTATTACATTCACACCTATAGTTATCAAAACTTAATCCACGTGCTCGTGTTAATTTATTGTCTACATTTCAAAATTCTCCCGGTACCAGCTACTCTTCTGCTCTAATTTTACCATTTTATGCGCAGATTAATTATGTGAAATTAGCCCTAATATGCCAATATGCTATCGCATATGCTTTTGCGATATAATCTGATTTACGCGCAGATTATGCTATCGCAAATCGGCGGTATCCCTACTTGGAGTTACATTTACTAATGTCTGACTTCTATATTCAGATTACGTAGAATATGAGCATTATAATAGTATTTCAAACGGTGTTCACAAAGTTCCTTAAATTAAATCTTACACGTAACATTTCCTTTTTATTTTTTATTTTTTTTGTTGACCGTTTCCAGCATTTAGACTAGTACTAGCAATAAATAGTAAAAACACACGCTTCTAAATGAAGTTCTTGGGGTTGTAGATTATTTTGAATTAATTGTTTAGAGCTAGAAACGGATTTTTTTGTTAGTGAACGTTGCGTTCTTAAAAAGTACTTTAAAGTGTATAAATAAGTTACCCGGGCAATTGATTTACATTAGCAATCAAACGAATATCATTCTATGAAGTAGAAGTAGTATCCTCCGCTACGCTTTGGACTATTATTATTTTTTGATAATTATAAATTTATTTTTTTATAATATCTAATTCTAAACCGATGTTAACTCTGAGTAATTTAAACCGGACAATCCGGGCGTGAGAATAGGGTTGTAAAAAAATACTGTAATTTTGCAATAAGTCTCAGTAAACTAGTTTTTATAAAATTTGTAATTCACATAATATGAAGTTCTGAGATCAGAATTTCGGCGATTTGGGAGTTGCAAATAAAGTGATACAATAACGCTGGCCGAACTTTGTAAAGCTGGCACTTTGTATATAACGTGCTGAAAATTACATGAAATTTGTTTAATGAAACTTACATATTGTAAGATTGTAATTTTCGTAACACAACTTTACGTAAGGACAACATCAACAACTACTGCTACCCAACCCTATGAAAAAACTATACTGGAATTATTTTGAATTAATATTAAATTTTTTTCTATATGAAATTCCGTATGAAATTTTACAGAATTCGTGGCAAATTCCGTATTACTTAATATAGAATATTTATATAAAGCTTTTTATTAATAATTTAAATAGTATATATTTTGTTATTTTTTAGAAAATAACTAGAATTCACCTTAGGCAATTATCACCTGTAATTAATTTTTATTAAAATAAAATTACACTTTTAAAATGGTAAGGGTTAGAGATTAAAATAGAATTTATATATAGTTTTGTTAGAGTTTAAAAGTGGTTTCATAGACAAAATTTTAAAATATAAGTATTTTTAAAAATTTTTGCTTAATTACACAAAATTAATTTAATATTACACCTAATTCTAAATTTTGATTGGTAAATTAATTATAAATAATAATTACCTGTGGTGTAAATTAATGCTTGGCAAAATCAAACAAAAACTCGATTATCGAGTTTTTGAATCTATTGATTTATAGTATTGTGCTTCAATTATAAAATCTATTTTACTCTAATCTGACTTTAAACTTCATGTTAGTTACCATAAAGTCTATGTAAGATCAGATTCCTGTTAGATTTATATATATACTAAAAATGAATTTTGTATTTAATGCACAATATTGTAAATTGATAGATTCAAAAACTTGATAATCAAGTTTTTGTTCGATTTTGCTGAGCACTAGTGTAAATTAACAATTTTATTTTTTATATATGGCAAAAAGGTGTATTAGATCAAAAAATTTTTTATTTTGATTTATTTCTTGAAGAATTAGATTAATTACTGATCTGGATAATATCTGCACTATTTTTTTTTTTTTTTAAAGGGGACCTCTTTAGCCTAAGGACATTTTATTAGATTAATAGTTATATTACAATTATGACAAAGATACATCAAGCCATATATACACTTTTGGTATCTAATTTAAATAGTCTGCCTAAAGGTTCTACACTATCTGCTGTATCTGCAATCTAACTACAGAATTACCCATTTAA